AGACGAGTCTTAACAAACTCACTTGAGACAGTTGTTTGAGTAACTTCAATACCCATAATAAGCGGTTCATATTCTGAAGGTAAACCACCCAGAAGTAACATTGCAACTTCTTCATCATCAACAATGTGATTTATGTCTGCTAACTGTTGAACTAAGGACAAAGTTCCATTTACATAGTCTGCCATTGTGCTAAAATCTTCCAATTTAGTTCTAAGTAAACGTCTTAAAAGACTAAGTCTTCTAACCAAACTTTTGTTTTCAAAAGCATTCTGGAGTTTATCCCAAGCTTCTTTAGCAGTGTTAGCATTCCTAACATAAGGATAACAAGTAGGCAAAACATTTAAACAAATTTTTGCAAGAGCCTTTTGATCCCTGTTTTTATCTTTGATTTCAGTATCAACAGATACACAATCCCAAAGTCCATCAATTATTAATGCCATTTTCATTGAAAATTTCCAATTGTTATAATTTGAAACACCCTCTAGACGTTCAACATTACAATTTCCTCCCATTATAATATTTGTCATACTAGACAATCCTGTATTACTTGAGGTAGGTGCAATAGTATGTGTTGTATTATTGTTTTCTTGTGTAGTTTCCATTTTAGGTCAAACAACATAAAAATTCAGTTCAAGAAATTAGGTAACAAAATATTGTTCATAAGCCTAGAAATCTTACCAAACACAATCAGTCCAGAATTCTTCATTTGAATGTAGTTTTATGCATATTCAAAATGAATTATATCAAAAACGTCTTCTGGGCCCATAACCTGATGAAATGAGGGAATAAAATACATAAAATACTTTATTAATAATTGATGTAAAAAGGAAAGATATTAAAACATTAACACTTCAAACTGTGAACATATTAGAACAACATAATAATCTAATCAAGCAGCTGATATTAAAAGACACATTAAAAAGATATTTGATTATATAGCATTTAAGTAAATCAATACTATATAAAATCTTCAACAATCCATTTTTTAAGACTCGTGTACAGAGCCTCGACTTGTATACATTTTCTCGGTCGTCTACTAATCTTACTTATTTACTAAAAATAATTGACAAATCAGAGTAAATAAAATAACCTCAAAGTTCTACAGAGCATTTTCATATTTATTTTTGCAAAGATTAATTAATAAAATCCTTTGAACATCCTAGTATTTTACCTGTGTATATTTAATTAATCTGTCATCCTCTTATCGAAGGATTGAACGTATCAATGATTAGCATTACACATAGTATAAATAAGTCAACCCTTAGTATGTCTTTTAATTTTTATCCAAATGCTGAATTTGTGTTACAAACACTGAATGTTTACAGCTGTTATGTTAAACAAATTATATTATTAAGAATCTTAGCATCGGCTGCTAGACTTTTCAAAAATTAAAACTTAGGCCCTAATTTCTAAATAACTGGGACCCTAAACTAAAATTATGGCTTCGACATTCCCTAGTTCTCAAAATTATCTTTCTTTCAACACAAAAATCATGAAAATCCGTCGAGTGGTTGATTCAGAATCGTGAAATAAAAAAACCCTGTTTCGTTTTAATATTATAGATACTTACAAATGTTAACCCTCCGAGGGTCACGCGTCAAAAAATAGACGCACAACACACTTTGTGTAGGGTCACGCGTCTAGTTTAACCCTTAGAGTGCCAGGCGAGAAATAAAAGTAACGCTCAAAAAATGCCGATGATTTTTCCCGAAGGTCGCGCTAAAAATGCCGAGCGCGATCTGGCGATTTTTAGGTTAAAATTTCGTAAAAATTGAATTTTCGATATTTCGACCAACGAAAATCGATGTATCGCATCTAGTAACTTTCGACTCAATGTTAATATATGGGTTAAAAGAATCCGAGTATCCATTCGGTTGTTATGACAACTGTTCGATCATTACGAAACGTCCGGCTGCACTTTTGGCTCGTTCTAAAAACGTCCGGTCGGCCGGACGTCGGCACTTTTGGCTCGTTTTAAAAACGTCCGGTTCCCCGGACGTTGGCACTCAAAGGGTTAAGACGCACAAACATCGTTTACGGCGAAGGCTCTATGACTGACTGAATCAGATTGAACTGGATCGAGTTAGGTATTGTTCTTTTCATTAGATTCTAAGCTTTCTAAAGGTCTGTCTCTAAGCGCTGTTTGTTCTCTGAGCCGATCGTAATTGCTAGCAGACAGCTGACGTGCATATTAGTAAACAGGTTACTTAACCTCGGACCGATGACTGATGTGTTTTATTATGTTTATCATTGTTTTAGTGTTAAAAATCAAAAGTAGTGATATACGTGGTGCATTATAAGAAGATTTAAGTGGTTTTGAAGTGCTGGTTGATGATCCTGAAGAAGTAGGTAGTGATATTGATGTAAATTATCAGCCAGATTCCTAGCTATGGTTAGGCTATGCATTCTTAGCTAAACGCTATGTACTGAAATCCGTTTTTCGCTCATAACTTATTTATTTGATAACTTACCTCGCTATATGATTATATATTTGTAATCCTCATTAAATTTAGAACAAAGTGGCTATTTTCAAATATTCATAGGCCTATAATTTATACAATTTCATTGAGCGCGAACTTATTTTTTTTTGAAAATTTTCGAAATTATATTTTTTTTACCTAAAAATTTTTTTTTGAAAAAATGTTCCTTATGTTTTATATATAATATTGAAGCCCATGATTTTCCAAACAAAATGGTATATAGAACATTAGAATTAACATTGTTTTAAGCTTCTCAGATCCGTTTTAATAAAACCTTGCAAAGGGGCCAAAAATAGGTGGACATTAAGGCCTAAACTATGGACCTTTGGAGGGTTAAATTAACAGTAACGGTACATAGAGGTGGTGAACAATAATAACAATAACAGTCAATAACATGAATTAAATCTTAAAATCAATAGTAACAGGACATGATAAAAAATCTTCTATTTTATAAAAAGGATTGGCAATAAGCCACTCAGATATTTTAATTTTAAATTGTTTCATAGTCACAAATCGGGCAGTGTCAGGCAGTTTATTGAAAAATCTCACGTAGTTAATTTTAAAGCAGTTTCCTGTTTTTGCTAAGCGGTGCTGGGGAAGGTCAAATTTGTTTTTTCCTCTTGTGTTGTAGCTATGGAATGTTTTTCTATTATTGAAATCTGTAATATGTAGTTTGGTATAAATGAGAATGTGGTAAATGTAAAGATTAATAACAGTCATTACTTTGAGTTTTATAAAAAGTGGTTTGCAATGTTCAGTGTCACTTGTTCTAAAAATTGTTCTAATGATATTTTTCTGTGTTGTAAGTATGTCATACACAAAACCTGAATGACCCCAAAGAGTAATGCCATACGAAAGATGGGACTGACAAAAAGCATAGTAAGCCACCCTTAGATATTCAAAACTCACAAAATCCCTAAGCTTCCACATGAGATAAGAAACTCTTGAAATTTTTCTGTTCACATACTCAACATGAGACTTCCAATTCAATTTGTTGTCAATAAAAAATCCCAGCAATTTAACAGTTTGATAATCTTCAACATGAGCCAAACTAAGCAACAAGCTTTGAGTTTTCTCCCTGTTACATAGCAACTTATTCGAAGAGAACCAATTTTGAGCTGTGTTGAAGACACTACTTATTTGTTCCTCAAGACACATTAAGTTCCTGTGTGAAGATAGTAAGGTTGTGTCATCTGCATATATGACAACCTTAGAGGCAACGTTAGATGGAAGGTCATTAATGAAAACAGTGAACAAAAATGGCCCAAGAACAGAACCTTGCGGAACACCGGTATTGTTGGTATAGTGGGTGTTGATACCAAAATGTATCGATTCTCGATTCTTGATAACGATACCAATTTATATAGCTTAACCAAATTTTCTAAATAATACTACACCAACCCCTGTCTTTGTCATAAAGTAGTATTATGATAATGTAGTGTTTTCAAGTAAAGAAATAATGCAGCAATAAAAAATTCTAACTAGCAAATTTTTTTTTTTTTATCATGAAATCTTCCGCGTACCGTACGTTTAAACATCATCATTGACTTCAGCGGTTACAGAAACGTGATCGTCGTCGTTCGCGATCATGGCAAAATCATGAACATTTCCCGCAGCCTTGTAGACATCAATGACATCATCGTCGTCTCCCGCGGTCTCAGAAACGTCATCGTCATCGTTCGCGATCGTGGCAAAATCATGAACATTTTTCCGCGGCTGTTTAGACATCACCGTCATCTCCCGCGGTCACGGAAACGTTATCGTCGACGTCTGCAATCACGGCAAAATCATTAACATTTCCCGCGGCCGAGCAGACATCGTCATCTCCCGCGGTCACAGAAACGTCATCGTCGTCGTCCGCGATCGCGGCAAAATCATGAACATTTCCCGCGGCTGTTTAGACATCACCATCATCTCCCGCGGTCACGGAAACATCATCGTCGTCGTCCACTATCGCGGCAAAATCGTGAACATTTCCCGAGGCCGTGTAGACATCATCATCATTGGCTTTCGCGGTTACGTAAACGCAAGGCGACAATTGCGGAAAAATCATGAAAATTCCCAACTTTGAAATCAAATTTAAGACTAAATCCCGACTTTTCAAGACCATTTTGAAATTCAATACTAATTCCCGACTTTCCCGATTTTCCCGACTACTAGACACCCTGTTCTCACATTAAAACTCAATACAGAAAGTGCCTTATCATCCAATACCCAAAGCCTATAGAGACCACTCAGTGACTTATCCACATTGAAACCTTACTGCAATAAGACTACTTTTCAACTTCAACTATGCTTAAATCTCAAAATTTAAAATATACAGCAGTGGGCTATTAGACAGGAGTTCATAGACAAGGTGGGCATTTTTTAGATCTTCTAGAATCTTTTAATAAAATTGGCCCCCCTGAAGTTTTGTAAAACGCCTTTTTGTTCTTGATTTTGGGTTGATAAAAGCTTCAGAAAAACAGACTTGAAAGAATTCAAATTTCTTTCACTGATTAAAAAATAAGTTATACAAACCTCTATTCTGCGAGCAGCTTCTTCAATAGCCTTGTCCATGGTGAGCAGCTCAGTTTCAAGTGAGTCTGCGATGAGCTCAGTGGTTCCGCCCTGGAGCTCTGTGTCTAGTGAGTGGACCAGCTCAGTTAGCTCACTTAGCTTAGCTCGTAGCTGACTGACACTACAACTGCCTGAATCCCTGACTGAGCTCAGAACTGTCACACAAGTCTGGGCGAGCTCCTTACATACATTTGACATCTCTGAAACACAACAGTAAGAAATTAGCGATCTTCTTGTTGTTGTCGTTTGATTCTAAAGCTCTTTTTGGCTTGGATTTGAACAAAGCGTTCAGCCTGCCCATTAGATGAAGGGTGATATGGTGCTGGTGCAGTTGTTTTATGTGTGATTCCACACTGTTCAAGGAAACTAGAAAATTCTAAGGAAGTAAACTGTCGTCCATTGTCTGACAAAAGAAGATCTGGTAATCCAAAAGTAGAAAACATTTTTCGTAACTCCTTGACTGCCAAAGTAGCTATAGTACATTTTGTAGGTAATACTTCTACCCATTTGCTAAATGCGTCAATGACTAACAGGAAGTAAAGCCAGCAAAATCAATGTGAATCCTTTCCCAAGGTCTAGTAGTTGGTATCCAAGGATGGTTCACTTCTTTTTGTGGTGCATTTTGTTTTTCTCTTCTGCATGGTACAATCATCTCCTCGATATCTTTGTCTTGGCCTTTCCAATAACAAAAACTTCTGGATAGTGCTTTAGTTTTCAATACACCCATGTGTCCAAAGTGTAATTCTTTCATAATGATTTTACTAAGAGATTTTGGAATCATTATCCCCCATCCCTTGAGGACACAACCTTCATGAAGACTCAACTCACCATCATGAAATCCAAGTTTTTCAACAAACCATTTTGTAAAGCGTGTACTATTTGATTCATTTCTGTGTCAAGGGAATTTTCTTTTACTACCAGCTTATGATTCAAACTCATTTTATTGATCTGACTTGTTAGGAAAACATCAATCTGGCCAATGCAAGTGCTGTATTGGGTCTCAGTCGGAAATCTAGATAGAAAGTCTTTGTTTCCATGATCATTTGATCTTCTGAACTCAATATTGTAATCAAAGCCTGATAAATAATGAGAATAATTGAATAATCAAGTTGCAGACATGGATGGAAGACTTTTTTCTGGGTTAAGATTGTGACTGGTGGTTTGTGGTCGGTTACGACGGTGAATTTGCGACCATAACAAAAAGTAAAGAACTTTTTAAGGCCCCAAATGATGCCAGTTGCATCCTTGTCTACCTTACTATATTTTTCTCCAGGCTTCGTCAACGTTCGAGAGGCAAAAGCAATTGGTTTCTCAGTCCCATCAAGAAAACGGTGTGATATAACAGTGCCTAACCCAACAGGAGATGCGTCTGTTGCTAATACTAGCGGTAGTTCTGGACTGTAGTAGCAAAGAACAGTATCGCTGGAGATAACTTTCTTGATTTGTTCAAAACTCTGTTCACATTGTTCATTCCAAACGTACTTGTTCCCTTTCTGTAAAAGTTTATGTAACGGTTTCAATAGAGTAGCCAAACTTTTATAAATCTGTTGTAATATTTCACCAAACCTAAAAATGTCTGGAGTTCACTTACCTCAGGTTTTCTTGCCTTAGTTATGGCAGCCACTTTGTCCATACATTTATGAATACCCTTTTCATTAATAACAAGTCCCAAATAATGTATTCTTTTCTGGAGAAACTTGCACTTATCACAATTGAGTCTTGCCTTTTTCTCTTTCCTAAGACACTTTCCAAACGCAAAAGAAGTTCTTCTTCCGAATTTCCCTGAATTACTATATCGTCAAAGAAGCACTGTATTTTTTCTAGGCCAGCCAACGTCTTGTCCATTGCTTTCTGCCAAATGCCAGGAACAACTTCAATACCAAACATCGCTTACCCGGTAAAGAGTTAAACTGCAAGAGGTTCTACTTTGTATTTTGTTTCTCAAAATCTTGCATGCAAAAGCTGAAAAGTTACTTACTGTCACCAAACTCTATGTTGTGAGCCGTGTTGGATGTTGCTTTTCCCAGGATGATGAACTGTGCTGTCAGATGTGTTACAGACACAATGTTACCAACTGTGGGGGCCGTTTCTAGTGTATTGATACTACTCTCCAGGGCAGGAACCAATGCTCGCAGATAGCCTGAAAACAAACTCTCTGAGACTGCTGCTAAACAATGACTCATGAATAAGCAAATCTAAATTTCTACTTTTTTCACTTTTGAAAATTGTTTTTCTTATATTATAAACTTAACTAAAAAAATAACTGTTTGATACAAAACAACGAACATTTGATAAAAGTGGAGAATTATCAACTAAACTATAAACAGAGAACCATGTAAAGCAATATCAGTATCAAGAACAGGACAACTGACTGATTACTTCTGATTGCTTCTTGTGAACCTGTGTGCTTCTGTTCAAGCCTATACAGTAGAACCATTGTAGAACCTAGCTAATCCGACCTCAGATGGCCCGACTCCTCGCTTGGTCAGACCGTGCCGCAGACACAATAGGCTTAATAGCTTTGGGCTATAGTATGGGCTATTAATTAACAGCTGTGTCTAAGGAACATGTCGGCCTTAGTCACTTACAAGACTACAAGATATGTGAGTTTAGGATGTGCCACTCATCCTTCACTCATCTCCATTCATACTTGGCTTAAAATACCTACATTCGCATGGTCAACATTTCATAAGAAAATATTAAAGTATAAGTAGAGTTACCTGGAGTGCAGGTGAGTACAGAGATGGCTGGATTTCCCAATTCATTGATTGTTTGTCTCATGATGTTTTCTGACTCTGTCACCACACTCTCTGAAATAATTATGTATGTATTAGATAAGTAGATGTAATCAGATAATCTAAACATATAAAGGTAAAAGCCCCCACAGGCTGATTCATCACTAATAGTAATTCTCCAACTTCCAGACTAACTAGAAGGCTGAATTTTGGTATACTCATTATTGAGGTCAAAAAATAGGAAAGTTAACCCATTTTCATAACGGTTTTACCAAAGGGATGCACCCTTCAAGCCCTTAAAGTTCCAATGTAATTCTTATAGGATTCAATTTTTACCATTAATTGTTTATCATATACCATCTGTTAGAAATTTGTATTATTTTTTTATCAAGATTGAAATTTTCTCGGTTAAGCAGTTATGTATGCAGTAAAACCATAATCTCTTAAAGCGTTGTGTGCTTGGCCACTATCATAGATAAAATATATGATTCCTTGTGGTGGTTAGTCTATGCTACTATGCTTACTAACTATCTATTACTTCTATTTTACACTACAGTTTATTTTTATTATTTTCTATTTTCACATTCACACTCGAAGTGAAAAATAATAATTCAATTAACTTCCTAGATCTTACAATGACCAAAACCAACAACAACATTGCCTACAAAATTTACAGAAAGCCTACAACAACAGACCATACTATCCACGCATCATCTAATTATCCACAATCTCATAAGATGGCCGCTTACAATAGTTTTGTTAACAGGCTTCTAAAAATACCCATGTCCCGAGCTGACTACAATGACGAATATACATTATTAAAGTGCATAGCCGTCAACAATGGTTATAACAGTAACATTATCGATAATATCATCCGTAAACAAAAAAACAGAAAGCAAATAGAAAAGCCCGTTCAAAACTTTGTATCCATAGAATATGGTAGCAATCTACACTACACCCTGAAAAACGAATTGAAGAAACATAACGTAACTTTAGCTTGCAAAACTTCAAATAAATTAGAAAGCCTCCTAAATCCACGTAATACCGAAACAACTCATTCCAACAGCCTTGAGGACACTGGAATATATAAACTATCTTGCAGTGACTGTTCTAAAATTTATATAAGACAAACAGATCGTTCGTTCAAGAAAAGGTTTAACGAACATCTTCTTAAACCTAAATCAAGAACTCAACACTCCAAGTTCGCTGAACACCTGATTAACGAAAACCACAATGTTAATAGCTGCAATGATAGCCTAAATGTTTTACACAAATGTACCAAAGGCTCCTTAATGAGTGTTCTGGAAAGTTTAGAAATCTACAAAGCAACTAAAAAACATCCTCACAACATTTTAAATGAAAAACTAAATTTTGGCCGTAACATAATATTTGATAGGATTGAGGACATTGATAACAGAAGCGCTCACAATCAGCTGTTTCACCCCCTCCAAGGTCAATGTCAACAGACAGGAGTCGGTTAGTTGCATCGTGTCCGTCACCGAGGTACTTATGGCCGGCTGCACATTCATTTTTGTAAATAGTTTGTGTCCGTGTTCGAGTTTATATGTTAAATGTACTATGTGTAATGACGACCACAAGATGTCCCAGTATTTTTAAGAGGCAAGAGGCTCGACAATGAAACCTTGATGTTTCGGAACTGGTCGCCATAGACTAATTTAAGGATTGATGACGTAAGGTATGTAACCTATTTATATTGTCAATAATCAATCCTGGAGGCAATAATGAATAAAGATTTTTTTTTTTTATATATTGTAAGTGAGTGAAATTGAAATACTAAATGGCAAAAACTAGATTAAGTAGGCCTACACTAAGCAATATGAATATCACCAGACCGATTTAGATATGAATTTCAGACACTATAAATATTTATTTCCACCTAAATGGAATGTCACAAAACATGTTCAAAATTCAAGTAAATCAACGTTCAAAGTACTTCTGTAGGTATACCATTTCCTAACTCGTATTTAGAGATGTATGAGATATGCAGATACACATCGATAATTACACATTTCTAATAGTTTAGTTAAACAACAATTTAATGTTAAATCCAAAACCATTTGGGGGCAAAATACATGATTAGCGAATAATGTGATTGTTGTGATTTACATCACTACAGTGGATTATACGCTTACAGTTAAGATAAGTGAAGAAATAATTTTATCTTGGAGAAAAACATAACACAGCAAGAGTTAAACATCAACACACAAGTCTTTAAAAAATACAACTATAGGTCGGCCGGTTAGAAAGCGCCCTCCTCGTAGCATTGGTGCGAGAGAGAGATATACCGAGCTGTGGGAGTGAGACAGACTATGGCTCTTCCCCCACTCCGCTGCCGCCCCACCCCCAATCTTTTATAAATATTAACTGGAATTAAATTATACTGCTGATCAAAATGTAAACAATTACGTTCTTCATAACTTGAGAAAAATAGGTCCTGCAAAAAATATTGCATAGCCAAAATCGCATCAATATTTGAGCATCATGAAATGTTATTATATCATTGTGTAAGCAGTTCCATTTGGTAACACAGGATTCCAACTCCCACGACACCGGGGCGGCGCCGTGTCGGTGTCGTGCATTTGTGTGTCGTGCAGTGTGAAAACGGCCATTGGCGGAGAGGGGGGAACATACCCTCCCTCGCCGTTACCTCCCCTACATGCGCTAAAAATTTCGCGCAGGTCGTTTTCTAACCGGTCGTCCTATAACAACTTGTACTAATATACCATTACCAAAATATACTGGGTAGTTCAGAAACTGCTTCTTACCAACACCATAGGGATCATCATCCATGGCAGCTGTTATAAATTTACTGGTTAAAGAATACATATTACTTCAGTAGTGTTTATAAAATGATGAATGATTGTTATGTCAGCTTTAAAACAGGATTGTTTAGATAATAAGTATCTGGGGAACACACTTCATTCGGGGGAAATGTTTAGTATAGTCTTAGGTAAATATTGTTTATCCAATTTTTCTTTTTTTTGGTCTATTTGTAATGTGATAAAATAGTAATATCGTAGTTGACTTTGTTTATGTAAGTAGCAATTATAACTGTATAGTGTATATAGGGGTCTGCGTGCACCGAAAAAGTCGGTATGGTGTGGTTCTGGCCTGATTACCGGGAGGGAAACTAGGGACGGGCGAGCGAAACGGTCCTGTACAGCATTTGACAAGATACTAATTCGGTTTGGTACAGAATAATTAATTAGGCCTACTTTCAATTCACTATCATAGTTGGTTAGGAGCACATAAAAGGTTAATCATATGTTTGTTTACGATTTACATAATTTATTACTAGGGTAATAAAGCAATAAAAAACCCATTAGCAGTCCCAAATCCATTAATATTTTATCACGACAATAATTGTAGTACTCAAACTCAAAACAACAATATCGAAATCATCGTAATCGAGTTAAACAGCTTCTACGAAATTCAAAACTCAGATACATTCAAAAACTTTTTGAAAGTCAAAAGCAACCATCAAATATTTTATGGCGCAAAGTTAAAAGTCTTGGGCTAGGGAAACAATTTGATTCTCAACCGGTACACATTCCTCTAAATGAGTTAAACGTTTACTTTTCTTCTTGCAGTCAAAATACCAACCAGCATCAAGTTGACAGTTACTTAAATGAACTAGTTAACTCTCCAACCCCACACCTGAGATATCCTGAGTTTAATTTTAAACCAGTTATTCAGTCCGATGTTTTGATGGCTATCCGCAGAATCCGAAGTAATGCTGTCGGTTCTGATGGTATACCTATCCGTTTTATCAAAGACATCCTCTATGCCATCCTTCCAACTATCACGTTCATTTTTAATGCATCTTTAAGGCACCATTCTTTCCCTTCTTCTTGGAAGTCTGCTATCCAATCTATTATCCGTCCCCGAAAAAAGATCTCAGCCCCAACCTTGGTTGGGGATTTCAGGCCGATAAGTATTTTGCCCGCTCTATCTAAAGGCCTAGAAAGAATCGTTCACTGTCAAATCACTGAATTCATCACGGAAAACAACATTTTATCTGACTATCAATCTGGTTTTAGGACAGCACACAGTACAGAGACAGCACTCCTTCGAGTGACTGAAGACATAAAACTTGCTATGGAGCGTCGACAAGGAACGATTCTAACTCTATTTGATTTTTCTAAAGCATTTGACTGTGTTAATCATGACCTGCTGGTTCAGAAATTACAGGCCATAATTCTCTTAAATGGCTGAGATCTTATCTGTCAGATAGGCAGCAATGTGTGGAGATTGGTGACACGAGATCAGACTGGGTGACTGTTACATGTGGTGTGCCTCAAGGGTCAATCCTTGGGCCTCTGCTCTTCGTACTGTACGTCAATGACATAAACTTGACCTTGGTCAACTTTAAACACCACATGTACGCTGACGACTTACAAATCTATGACCATTTTACTGCAAACAACGAAAACGACTGTGTCAGAAGGTTCAATGAAGATGTCAACCGAATTGTTACTTGGACTGAGAATCATGGACTGAGACTAAATCACGAAAAGACGAAACCGATTGTCATTAGCCATTCTCGACTTCGACCTTCAATTGACTTAGACTCCATAAACCCAATCACAGTTAATGGCAAAGCACTTCCATACTACGACAATGTCAAGAATCTTGGTATATCTTTCAACTCTTCACTTACTTGGGACATAGCAGTTACGGACACACAAAAAAAGGTTTTTGCCTCCATACATTCATTGAAAAGCTTACAGAATTTTTTACCACAACACACTAAACTACATTTGATCAAATCACTTGTACTACCCCACTTCAGTTACTGCAACTCATTGATCAATGACTTGACTGCGACTCAGGCGGGTATGCTCCAGCGGTCACAGAATTATTGTTTGAGATTTGTCTATGGTCTGCGACGTATGGAGCATATCACGCCATACTACCTTGAGGCACACATCCTGAAATTAAATGATCAAAGATTCATTAAAATTTTGTCATTGGTTTTTTTTTTATTTTGAAGACAGGCTCCCCAAAATATTTCAAATCCGATTTTAAATTTGTGTCTCAGGGTAGTTCACGAATGTCTCGTTATTCTTCGATCACATTGCGTGTACCTCATCATGTGACCACAGCTTATGGCAGGGCTTTTGTTGTTACCGCTTGTCGTCTGTGGAATGCCCTACCCCTACACATTAAGACCCTTGAAAAACGTTCCCAGTTTGTGGCGGCACTGAAAAAGCTCTATTTTGAGAAGATGGTCTCGGCTGGCGCGTCCTAGGGCTACTGTTACTTAGCGCGTTTGCTGATGCGTGTATGCGAGAGTGTGTGAATGTGTTTTTCTATTTGTTAAATTTGTATGTTTTTTTTAGATAAGTAGGTACTTGAATTGTTAAATATTTTATGTTTAATTAGATTAAGTTATCCCAATGTCACATTATTTTTGTTATATTTTGAATGTCAGGTTAAGTGTAAGAAAGGGCCATGTGGCCCTAACTTTGCCCGAAAAAATAAAGGATTTTTCATTTCATTCATTTCATTTCATTTCATTTCCGGATTAAAAAAAAAACAAGGAGAGGGTTACGATATTACTAATAACATACGGGCTACAGCTAATGCTTCTGGCTCATTGAGCATTAAAAAATATAAAAGTCGACTGTCTGTCAACAAAATACTGCAACCAAAGGAGTGCGTGAATGGACAGCCCGATATTTAATGAGTGGTTTTTCAACAAATTTGTACCTGTCACTGAAGCGGTTTTGAAAAAAAGCTTCCCAGGAAAGCTCTTCTACTATTAGACAATGCGCCATCTCACCCTGATGCCCAAGAACTGTGCAGTGGTGATATTAGGGCAATCGTTCTACCCCCTAATGTTACCTCACTTATACAACTGCTAGACCAAGGGGTTCTAGAAGCGATGAAGAGGAACTTCCGACGAAGGCTTCTCCAGATGTTAATTACAAAGTTAGACGAATGAATGACTGTTAAGGACGTCTTAAAAAAGTCACATTAAAATATGTGTCGTACTGGATAGCCTAAGCATGGGATGAGGTTAAAACTACCACCGTTCAAAAGTCCTGGAAGAACTTATTTGGCATAGATGGACCACCAAAAAAAGCGCCAGAACCCAAGAACGTGAGTGAACTAGTCAAACTAGCCAATAAGTTACCCGTTGAAAATCAAATCGACAGCAAAGACATTCACGATTGGTGCAATCAAGATGATCAGATGTTAATTACCGACATGGAAATCATCGACATGGTAACCAGTGATAAGGACAACGAAGACGATGACGATCTGAACCAGATAACTCCCAAAATATCATACACCGACAGGCTGAAGGCGATCGACGCTGCTCTTGCATTCATAGAGCAGCAAGAAGAGTGTACACCACACGACATTCTTACTCTACATCATTGGCGCAGCATTGCATCATCCAAGCGAGGGAAGAGGTTAGCTCAAAAGACAATCAAAGACTTTTTTAAAGAAATAATCTGTGTTCATTCTTGCTTACAGGTATTTAATTTTGTCCATTATATGTTCTTTATTCTGATAAACCAGTTTCCAGTTTTGTAAACTTTCACGGGGTTTTACGTCATTTTTACCATAACTGTATATAACCTCCGTATTATGAGAGTTTTCCCGTATCTGAGATGGTTCCGGTCCCAATTACCTCAGATAATCGGAAGTCTACTGTATACCCTCCTAAATAATTAGGTCTAGGCCTGGGTCTTTTGATTCTTTGGAAGAGCTTTAAAATAAAGGTACTAAGAAAATTGAATTGAGCCTTAAGATAAAAGGAACACCCAGTTATTGTGTTAGGCCTAGGTGGGAATAATTTACCAGTTGTGTGAACTATCTTATCAAATTGTTATCACATAATAATTATTCCTAAAAACTATTATCCTAATTTTAAAACCTCTTTATTATGGCTATGACTTATCTCATTAGTAATATATTTAAAGCCTTTATCTTAACTGTGTTTCTTTCTTGACACAATTATGTAAGAGTAAAAGGTTTTTTTAATAGTGTGTGGTGATTTAGTTAATTGTTAATAGAAAACCATGAATTTGTGATTCTATTCATTTTCATAATATTGTTAATGCATTTAAATTAAAAATAATGGTTTAAGTACAATTCTGAGAAGAAAGCGGAAAAATAGTGGTAGCTATGTATCGTACCAAACGGTACAAACCTTAAATTTTCTGTCCCGCAGACCCCTAGTGATTAGTAAATTTTTTGTTTGAGGACACTGTAAATTTAAACTGAAAAGTTTTTATAACTGAACCAATGTTAATGAAAATATCATGATTATGCCATATTGTATCCGCATGGTGTAAAACTCCAAATTATGACATAAATGTCTATTTATAAGGTATTAAGACCCTTAATAAATAATACTCAAGATGAATAAATGCATACATTTTAGGTTATTACATGTTATAAAACCAAGCTCTGACAACAAGAAAATACTTTTTTTATTACAACTCAGTCTTGACAAATACAGTGGAACCCTCATATCCCACCTCGGAATAACCGACCGCTCGGAATATCCGACCTAGTGTCTGACCATCTACTTGTTTCCTGTCTGGGGCAATAACGCCGAGCCCGATCGGTTAGCCAAAAGGCTGACGTGGGACAATAAAGGCCCTCGTGGGAGACGATTACCAAAATCGCGGAGAGTGCAAGTTATGCTCACCGGTGTTGCCGCAGTCGCATGAGATGTTTGCCAAAATCGCGGAGAATGCAAGTTATGCTCATGGCTGTTGCCGCAGTCACGGGAGACTATTACCGAAGACGCGGAGACTGTGGGTTATGCTCCTTCCGATATTCAGACCTTATGGCTTTATGACCCGGTCCCGTCATGGTCGGATATGAAGGGTTCTACTGTAGGGCCGGAAACATCTAAATTCAAAAATATGTTTTGCCCTTTAGTTAGAGTGGTGATGAAGACTCTTAAGTAGGTCAGGTGAAGAATGGATGTAACAGAGAAAACACTTATTGTATTAAGTATATAGATGGATAGACAGATAAAAAATCGACCACTGTCAGCCACTGTCTGTTATACTTACTGAACAGGTCCGTCTGTTGTTGCTGAGAGTCACTGAGTTTCCTCTGAAGATTGTCCATCCGTGTGTCCAAGTCTTCCTTCTGACTCAGCAGATCTTGCAGTTCATTCTCTAGCTTCTCCTTTTCTGCACTGACCCACTCAACACGCGACGACAGCGCCTGTGGAAACATCAGGGGTAATTGGTGAGTAAACTTGAACATCACTCAACTATTGAATATGATACAGGGCGAAACGTCTGACAGTGAAGTCAATATCTTCCGAAGTGAAAAAAACCAAAAAACTATTAATTTAAACACCACCCGCTCAAGAGTACACATGAATATTATGAGGCAGTGATGCATGTAAGGCTCTCTGGCAAAAAAATACAGACATAAGAAGTTATGCTTACTGATAAACAAAACAATAATGGTAATTTATTTATCTGATCATTTACAAAGAATCAATGCAACAGCTCTAAGCTTAGGAGACGGGAATCAGCCTACCAATTTGTTACCAGCTCAAGAGCACCACCTAACCTAAATATCAGATAAAAACCTTGCCCTACCTTTAACCCACAACACAACTAACTGAATCAAGCTTTATACTAAATGGTTTATGTTACCTGGCTTCGTCAAGTGATCCTGCTTCAGTAGTTTAATACTATAGTTTCAGACTCATCTTCAGGTAGGAACAAAAACGTCAATAAGTCATCTAACCAATTTAGTGACGTACGATGATTAATATCTATAAAGAAAACCCTCAATAGATATTTCTATATAAGTTTGCCCAAAGACTGTTTCATGATTAATAAATAAACAATCATATGTTTTTCAATTGTTTTTGTTAAAAAACAGTAAATAGTTTAGTGTGTTGATTTGTTGAATAAAATAAAGAGGTACCTAGTTTTTGTTAAAATTTATTTTGTCATTTCTAATGTTTGATATTAATCGTCCGTGATATCAAAGGAATTGAATCACGTACAGTGACGACATAATTGGTTAGATTCATCGTTACACTTAAAACACATACACGAACACGAAGAAACACAAAAAACAAATATAATAATGTAAAACTGGCCAGTGTATAAAACCAAGCTCTGACAACAAGAAAATACTTTTTATTACAACTCAGTCTTGACAAATACAGTGGAACCCTCATATCCCACCTCGGAATAACCGACCACGAAAATTAAATCACGGGGGAAACGTGTGGCAAATCTAACCAAATTGGTTAGATGACTTATTGACGTTTTTGTTCCTACCTGAAGATGGACTTTTAAGTCTGAAACTATAGTAGTAAACTACTGTAGCAGCAGGATCACTTTACAAAACCAGGTAACATAAACCATTTAGCTTGAATTTAGTGATCCAGAAGCTACCTCACCATGGAACAAGCTTTATAGTATAAATAAACAAAGACTATCTCACCACATTACTGTCATTAAAAGAAGGAACTCCAATAATACTAATGCGAAACTTAAAACCACCCAAGCTGTGCAGAGGAACCATACTGACAATTTTAAAAATGACACCGAACTTGATCGAAGCAACAACCATCAGTGGTGAGTTTAAAGGAGAAATAGTCTTAATCCCAAGAATACCGATGATTTCATCCGAATTACCCTTTGAGTTGATGCGACTACAATTTCCTTTGCGTCTTGCTTTCGCAATCACCATTATAAGAAACAAGGGCAATTCCTGACTATCGCCGTTTTAAATTTAGAAAATGAACGCTTTTCACTTGGACAGCTGTATATTGCTGTGCGTTGTGTGGTGGTAGGTACGCCTAAAAACTAAAAACGTATATATTTATACACCTAATGAAGTAACAAAAAAACATTGTTTATCCACTTGCAACTAAGTAAAATAAATAATCTATTTTTGTTTTTGGTATTCATTTTTATTATTTAATGTGAAGAACAAATTACCATTTAAAATAATAGTTAGCGCAGCAACGCATGCCGGGTAACTGCTAATTGATTATATGTATATAGATTAGCTTTATTGGCAATACTGATTTGGTCTTGTAACTGCCATTCAACTTCTTTCTTCTTAAGAAGCTTCTTGTAGAGGCGAAATATGAAGTTTATTGTGTTGTGAGCTTTGTGTGTGTGCTTTCAATTACCTGGAACTCTTTTCTTAGGTAAGTTAGTTGTGTTCAATTCCTCCGTTCTTTGTTTACACCATTAACTTTGTGTCTAATTGATGGATGGGTAATATACACAGAACATTTCCTTGGTGCATAAAATACTATTGAACTTGTTATACGGGGGTAGTTTGTGAAAAGTTATACTTGATATTGTCCAGTAAAAGAGAAGATGCATTTTTTTCTCAACTGCCTGTCACTATGGACCTGCCAGGCAAGGTGGTAATCTAAAGACTATGAACTGTAAGTCACATGAGTAATTCTGTGGTAACTTCAGTTATAACGGGGTTCCCACTATTTGCCTTCAACAAAATTCACGGTGTTTTTACGGTTCTCACGGCCTGCTTTTATAAATTTCACAGTCTCCAAACAATGTTAGTTTTAATGACAAAACTTGATGTAATGCCTTTTCTAAACAGTACACAAGTAATGTTTTGTAGCCGATTAATACGACACCATTATTAAATTTTACATTGCTTAGATCTATGCATGCAGGAAAGCACAAGACCGTAAAATCCTTAAGGCCCATTCCATGAATAGAACGTAATGATCGGCCAGTCGGTGCATAGAAGAAAGATACAAGAGATAGAGGTAGAGAAACAAAGACAGAGATTAATAAATAGGTAGTCAATGATAGTATACTCTGTTAATACAATTTTAAATAAAATATTAAATACTAAACATCAATTCAATCCACAGTCGAGCGTCGATTGGGAATCGTATTGTGTAAATCGTACGTTGTCTGTCTAGTGTCTACACTACAGTATAGTTCCACCATTGCTTGCTACACGAAAAACGAACGCAGACAAATGCTTATTGCGTTTAAGTCAAGGTATCACTGAATGCAAGAATGCCAAGAATTGCGAGACAATTGCCGCCATTTGTAGTAGAGGAATAGTACTTTGGAACTAGGACGTAGGAGATTGTGGGATTGCAATTAAGCCAACAGCCAATGAGCTGGTTGATTCTTTTAGTGGTACTAACATAACAACATTTTACAGTGTCTCTGGTTAAGGTTACTAAAAAAACAGTAATGATAAAAATGTTTATTATGCAATCAAAACTGAAGATATAGGACTCCTGGGCCCTGACATAATAACATGAATAATATTCATTTTAGTCCAAAATATCTCATATTATATGACCAATTACACTTTAAAAACTAAAAAAAAAACATAATTAATACAACTAACAAACTACTGACATTTACATCAAAACATGAATGGAATTAATACTTGCTTTAGATCCACGATAACACCATTTTTGACAAACAAAACACTTAAAACATAAACTCTATATTGAAGTTTAGATTCTCGAAACTCGCCTATCAAATATCCAAATAAAAATTTTCCAAAGTTTTAATAGTTTTGAGATTTTAGATTCGATTTTGATGCACAACTACTGTAAAGATTAAATTAAATATTTTACACTATAAACTATATCTGAGATACAAAGTTATTGAATTATTATTGGAAAACTTCTAATGTGTACTTCTACAACATAAAAATCTACATCCTCCATGAATTTAACTCCAGAACAACCAACAACAATAGACTTTAGAAACATCCAACAGACCTGGTTATGTTCTGCTGCAGTGTCAGCCGACACTTGCAGTGACGCCAACTCCTCCAAAACCTGCTCAAGCCGAGTTTTCTCTGCTTCCTGGTCCAAACTGTTTGTCTTCACTGTTGCCAACTGTTTGTCCACATCTGCTTTCTAAAAAAAGCAGGTTAATTACTTAAGTTTCTGTTATGTCAACGGAGATAAAATCAATATCACATATCATTCATCCACACAAAGCAACAATATTGCAGGGGATAATAGAGCATTTTATAAAACATAACTAACTAAGCAAATATTTTAAGCAGAAGAGTCTTATCTCCTGGTATTTTAAAATTGCAAGAGAGATGGGCTTACTTATTATACTATTTTGAATTAATAGGTTATGGTTTTTCTTTTACATTCTTTCCTGGTCACTGAAATAGAGGGTGGAAAAAAGTCCCGAATTTAACGTCTTTGTTAGTAAAATACAATGCCGCAAACCCGAACTCAAATAGAAAACCAAGTAAAAGATTACAGCTGTTCAAAGATTCATTGAATTAGCAATGATATTCAGGGAATCAGAATCAGAGTGATTTATCTTATACGTTATTATATGCTACCTCCTCAGGGGTCCACTAGAAGTTGGAAGAAAATCATTAACGTAAGCATTGGGCAATATGCACATCAAAATATAGGTCTTTATTAGTAGAATACAATGCCGCAAATTTGAGCTCAAATAAACAACTGAGTAAGAAATGGCAGCCATTCAAAGATTCAAAATGGAAGATTCAAGAAATCTGTTTTTACTTGAATAGGCCTACCCTTCAGATTAGTAAGCTAATATAGATAGTTAAATGGATGACATTTATTCAGTTTTGGGTAATACATTTCACGGGTACTTGTACATGTAATATGTACATAAAATCACAAAAGAAACCATCACCTTCTGAAAACACAACCGTCCCTGGCATCTTAAAGCTTCCATGACCTTTTAAATCATAGCATTGATCAGTTATTTATAGCGTGGTGAACCAATTGAACTAAGCATCATCCCCCACTATTCATTTATATTTCTGGAAGTTGTCTACACTTTAAACTTCTTTCTCCTCAAAAGTAATAATGAAGACTGATCCAAAGCCATGATAAGCTTTAGCAAGCAAATATACAAAGGCAGGGAAAATTGATAGCTTATGTTATAAATATTTGGCATAATTAACAAAGCTGTTGACTAAAGTTAAAAATATTTTCATTTTTTAGAAGTGTGAGGGCTGTCTGTAAATTATGGTCTACACCAAGCTCCAAGTTGCAGCCAAGCAAGCTAGTTCCGATCTAATAGACCAGTCCTACGTTTCTCATTTCATCCAAACTCTTCTAGCCTGTTTCTGCCACCATGGGATGTTCCCTCTTCTCATACTGACGTGAAGAAAATTCTACGCTCCTACCACTTATGAATAATGTTCTATGATGAGGTTTCCGTGGGAGAGCGGTCAACCCCTATCGAGATCCATTGCCAGTTGACTAAAGTGTGTACAGAAACGTGTTTACACAGAAATGTACATAGGGGGCTGGGGGAGATGTCGTAAGGCCATGCACATTTGGACGAGGCCGGTAGCAGGTGTTCTTCAGTTTCATGAAATAATGATTAAAGTTGAGGAAACTTTTACTGCTGATAGGCATGTTAAAAAACACTAGGGTTTAATAATGCCACTATCCCTGTGTCACTATTAATGGTCCCCTATAGGTTTGGCAATCTCTCGTTCAGCCACACTGCAATCTGCATGCAAAATCACCCTAACTTTGGTCATTGCTTCAAATGAGGCTGAACATAGTCAGTCTACACCAATGATAAAAATTGTACAAATATTTATGACATCTCTGAGCACCAGCCACCCTTTACGCACATTTTCTACGTCTTCTAAACAGTTTACTTCATTTACTTCTGTCAACTGGAGATGGAATTTAATAGAGGTTGGCACATTAGACCACAGAAAGTGATACATCTTTGGCAGAAGTGTCAAATTTTCTCCAAAAAGTTTTTTCTTTACAATGAGAACCGACTAGAATAGTAGTGGTGTAGTAAAGAACATGACGCTGGTCTAAGGGCCGGACTACTTGAGCATATGAAACGCCGCCGATAGTACGCGCAAAAATGTCTAGGACTACACGAAGCCGACAATCCGCAGCGGATTGCGAGAGCATTGACTACACGAGCGTATAGAACGCCGCTGACTGTCCTCGCCCAATGTGACATTTGGACCGTTCCAATATGGACATGATATAGGTCGGATGTGTAGCTGGTATGCTGTAAAGAAGAAACGTCGTGCAAAGATGCGCTGGTGGTCACACCCAACATTATCAAACATTTAGTAACAGGACAGTTTCAAGTAATGTTTAATGCCCATAGAATGTACCCAGACAAACATTTTCTCAAAACAGCCCACCGAAAACCAACAAAAATAGTAAGGCACAAAAAACAACCAGACGACTCCAATTACAACAAGTAGTGCAGAATTGGACTAGCCCAAGTGAGGAGAGGGATGTATCACATCAACGCGCAGGAGAAATGCTTTATACTTTATACTTTTCGATGAAATGGCGACCATACAAAGTAGGTATTTTTTTAAGCCAAGTATGAATGGAGATGAGTGTAGCATGAGTGGCGCGATCTTTTAGTCTTGTTAGTGACTAAGGCCGACATATTCCTTAGACACAGCTGTTAATTAATAGCCCATACAGCTAATGGCATCTAAGGGACCTACAGTTTATAGTGGAATCCGAACCACATTTTTGCCTTGGTATATACAAATTGGTCTAATTATCAGGATAGTACTGCGGATAGTCGTAGTACTCACTAGTGCGGACGTTAATCCACACTAGAGAGTATCGCATCCACAGTGCATGCCTATAAATATCCACAATTCGTGACCTCCTAGTAGCTGGATTACAGGACGACGCCACCTGTCCCAGTCTAGTTGCTAGTTGCCACTACGTGTAGTACGGCGCGCCGACGATCTGCCCGCGTATTTTACGCATCCGGAGGCGTTAGATCTGCCAAACGCCTTAATTTTGCGTCCTCACCAGGCAGACAAAACGCTCGTGTAGTCCACATCATATGAAGATATTGATTCTGCAAAAATAAATAAATAAATAAAAATGCCTTTATTTCCGAGCGTCTCTCAGTACAAATATAACTGTTTTACAGAGTAACTCAGGTCAAATACTAACTAAAAATACAATACTATTATAATAAAAGACATCATGTGATAAAATAAAAATATTAAATATATATACAACTATTTTACAATATTGATACGTTTTTTAAGTTTCTTTTAAAAGCCAGGACCCCTAGCTGTTTTAGGTCTAAGGGGAGATCATTGTAAATCTTTGGGCCAAAGTATGAAAACCCTTTCCTACCCACTTCCAGGCGCACTTTTTGAAAGTGGAGCAAGGTGTTGTGCCGGGTCTCGCGTTGGGTCACCTCCCCACGTGCCACAAGCCTCTCCACCAAGTACTTAGGCTCTTGCTGAACCAAGACTCGGTGGATGAGGCTACAAGTCTGCGCCCTGCACACGGCTTCCATTGACAGCAACCCCGCAGCATCCCGGAATTGGGATACGCGTTCACGCTTACGGATACCGTAAACGAAACAAACTTTTTGCAAATGGGACATCTCTTCCCTTGAGATGCTGTTTCTGTATTCAGGGAAACAGTAATGGAGCACTGACAACACTAGTGAGTGTACCAGCTGCAGCTTGGCTGTCTCTGGTAGGATGTTTTTGTACCGGTACAGACCATGCAACCTTTCCAAAGCCACCTGGGAAACATAAGTGATGTGGTCCGAGAATGTGAGGCCACTGTCAAGTACCACACCCAACGTCTTGACAGTATCCCTCACCATTGAAGGGTTTCCTGCGAGTTGAACGTGCATGTCTCCATTTGCAACTCTGTGAAGAGTAGTGGGTGGAGCAATATGAAGAACAGTGCATTTGTCAGCGTTCAATTTCAAACCATGTTTGCGTGAACATTCATTTTTTCTCACCAGATCAGAGTTCACTCCTGCAAAAGCTTGCACAGTGGCCTGAATCTCGTACGAGAAATGCAACTGGCAATCATCAGCATATGAATGCACATTGCAGTGACTCACACATCTGGACAGATCTGCAGTGTACAGGGTAAACAAAATGGGCCCCAGACAACTCCCCTGAGGCACTCCCCTTGATTTCTCAAGGGGAGGTGAGATATCGGTACCCACCCTGGTCACTTGCAGTCTGTTTTCCAGGTAAGATCCAAACCAAGCAATTGCATCACAGTGAAAACCAAAATGTTTCAATTTTGCTAGGAGTAAACTATGGCTTATGGAATCAAAGGCCTGTGAAAAATCAAGCATGACTACAGAGCTACAAACGCCTCCGTCCCTCGCCACAAACAAGTCTGCAAACATATTTAGCAATGCAGTACAAGTGCTATGGTTCTTTCTGAACCCTGATTGTAGTTTGGGAAGCAGATTCTCTGCATCTAAAAACTCTGCTAATTGGCGAATTACTAATTTTCCAGTATTTTGGACATAGCTGGCAAGACTGATATTGGCCTTAAATCATTTAAGTTTGAGGGGATCTGCTTTTTGGGCAATGGATGTACCATACTTTTCTTCCACGCCTGTGGGAATTCACTCTTTGCTAGAGATACATTCATTAGGTGAGCATTGCATCAATCGCAAATGGGCAGACGGATTTAATCATTGCAATGCTTATTTCATCAACACCGACAACTCTAGATGTAATTTCATTAATAGTTTCCCTCACTTCGGGTACTGATATTTTTTTAAACTGGAATTTATTTGTATTATGTGTATCTTCACTGTATGATTTAATCAAATCTGCATCAGCTTCAAAAAATGATCAAATTTTTACAAAAAATGCATTCATTTCACTGACCTTAAAATAATTTGGTAAATTATTTCTGCCCTTTCCTACTACTATGTCACTCAGTTTTAGGCATTTCCAAAAAGTCCATGTATCTTTACAGTCTGTAAGTTTTTCTGAAAAAAAATTTCTTTTTGCCTTCCATACAGCCCCATTCTGTTTGTTTCTTACTTTTTTATAATCCACCCAGTCTACATCCTGTCCTGAGCTTGAAAATTTCCTCCTTAGTTTATTTTTAATTTTTGTTAACAT